AAATAGCCAGAAGTAATGTCTAATCACTAATGTTTTAAGATATTTTGTGTATACAAAAACAAAAAATCGATTTACTATACAAAATTTTGAAAATTTTTCTTTTAAAAACAATTGACAAAAAGAATACCAATAAAGGGTATTGGTGTATATATCTAAAAAAAAAAAGATTTCTATATATCTCATATAAAATCGTTCATTCCCAAAATTCGGCTACAATGAAAAATATATATTAAATATTAATATAATATATTTAGATATTAATATAAATTTATATTTTGTAATTGTTGTTTCTAATAAATATGATAAAATAAAAAAAGAATCCTCACAAATGAGAATTTCAAAATTGATGTCATGTAAATTTAAGATATTACTATAATTTTTTTCTTTAATGTGTGTATGTAACATATTTGCTAATCTAAATCAATGTTCTAATAAATCTGTTAAAATAAAAAAGAATCCTTGATAAATAAGAGTTCCAAAATCGACAACATATAATTATTTACATAATCTTTGTCTATAAAACTACTATTAACGTAATTAAAGAAAACCAAGAATTTACTAAAACAAACACAAACCGAAAATCGAGTTATATGAAAATTATTCAATTATTGATTTATTTTTTATTTAGATCATTTTATATTATTTCCATCTATAGTAGGTAATTAATGTTTTTAGCGGAAAATGCTCATAAAATGTTTGGGTATGAAAAAATCACATGTTATTAAAAATCTAATTGTAAACAACATTATTAGTTTGATTATTGGGCACACTACAATAAAATGATAAGATTCTATGTAAATATATTCCAAAAGAAATTATTCCAACGACAATTCCAACGGATATTTCAATACTATTATTTCTGTTGGAAATTTTCAATGGATTCCAACGGAAATTCCAACAAAAATATTCAGTTGGAATGAATTTTCCATTGGAATTTCCATTGGATTTTGACGATTCTAACGGTGGATTTTTCAACGGGGTGTAAATAAAAATTCCAATAGAATTTGCATATTCCAACGGAAATTCCTACGGTAAAAATGAATGTTTATCTAAAAAGCTTAATCTTTGAAATGTAGTGATCGTGTGTTATTTTTTAATTTCATGATTGCTTGACTCTTTATTAATTAGTTGGTTTGAATCAATATATAACAAATTTTGTTGTCAATCGTTATTAGAGTTTTTAAATTAATTTGTGTATATGCATAAATAAAAAGAGACCTAAACTATGAATTTTTTTTTTCATCTTTTGAAATCAAATAAATGACAAACACTATCTTTTAAAATAAATAATGATAATGATTATAACTTTGTATTATCAAAACCGATAAGGTATATAAAATTCGTTTTCCTTTTCAAATTGATAATGAAGGAAAAAGTCTAATTGGTGAAAAGATGATATATACAAATCATGATTTTAGAAATCTGATATATACAAATCTTAGCATGCAGTTTCAAATAATTTAATAATATAATAATAGGTTGAATGCATGAATTATGATTTAGGTTCATGCAAAGAAAATTTTGAACAGATTTCGAAAAATCATGATATATACAAATCATGATTTTCCTTGGAGATTTATTCGGATTTCCAAATTGTTTGGAAATCATGATTTATTAAGATTTACATTCAGATTTCCAAATTATTTTGAAAAATAGGAGATTTATTCGGATTTTGATTCCTTATTGTTTACCTATATAAAAGTATTTGATGTTATTAATAAAAAAAAAAGGAAAAAAATCTGATTTACTACTTTTAGGAGATAATTAATGAAAGTGGCGGAAAATTGTTTCTAAATTTGATTTATGTTAATCTTTATTATATAGGATTAACATATATGTTAACATATATGTTACGTTCACGTAAATACTGATATATATATAGGGTTGGGTTCTGGTGAGAATGACTATTACCGAAAGAAATGAGAATGAATTAAGTACGCAGGATCAATTAAATCTGAGGGACGTAAACAATTCACAGGAATTCAATTCACCCATTAGTTGGAGGGTAGTAATGTAAATACACCCATCAACTAATTTTTCGTGAGGTAATACCTGCACAAATCGAGAATTCACACACACACACATACACAACGCACACACCCAAATAAGACACAGTAAATCCAGCCCACACACACACCGCAGCTCTCACACACACACGGTGCCTCACGCACAATATTCCGACAAACACACACAGAGAATCACCCACAGGCCGCCGTCGACGCTGCGTCGATTGCCGTTCGCAGCCAACGCGCGCAACCGCGGATTGCCACTGCCCGGGAGCTCCATTGTCGTCGCCGCTCACAGGCGTCCGAACACCGTCGCCCTATATTTATCCTCATCGGACAGTCTCCGCCGCATATCCGGTCACCTATGTGCGAATCGACGACGTCGCCATCGCCTCTCTAGTTGCCGTGAAAATTTTGGGATGAGATCTGCTTGGAGTCGCACTAATCGAACATAAATTTGAAATAAAATTGATAACTATACTTGCGTCGTGGCGGTGGTGGTGGTTGTGTAGCTGGGCTGGTGGCCGCCGGCCGGTGAGGTGAGACTTGAATGCACGGGCGAAGCTTTGAATTGTAGAGCTTGCTTTTAGAAATTAGATAACCATAAAGGACATAATTGCAATTTCGTAAGTTTTGATTATTTTCAATTTAAGCTTTGTGCCAAATATATAATTTTTTAAAACATATTAAAAAATATTATCTTTAAACAATTGGGAACTCCTACTACGGCACATTGGTTCCATGAGAGATGAGACTTTGTGCAATGGGTGGGGACCAATTTTTATACTTTATATATATTATAGTATTTTAATCAAGAAATAATATTATCAATATTTAATAATACTACAATACTAAATATACTTTCATAATAATAACTAATAAATTATTTTAATTATTTAGATTAGTTTGATGCACAATTATATCTACTAAATATAGTTTCAAAAACACATATTTTATATGTGCTCATATAAAGTATTGCACTTTATATATCATCATGTTGCACTTTATAAAACATCAGATTGCAATTTATAGAACAACACGTTGCAATTTATCAACACGCTCCAAAATTACAGTAGTACACTCAATATATCAACGTGTTGCACTTTATAAAACAACACATTGCACTTTATAGGACAACACGTTGCAATTTATAAACACGCTTCAAAATTACAGTAATATACTCTAAGAAATAACATGTTACACTTTATAAAACAACACGTTGCAATTTAAGAAATAACATGTTGCACTTTATAAAACAACAAGTTGCACTTTAAGAAGTAACATGTTGCACTTTATCATGACTATTAGATTGCACGATAAACGTCGAAACCGGCCAAAATCTAAGTTTCTCAACCAAAAATAATAAAAAATAATAAATAACATTATTAACATAAATATAATTTTAATATAATAAGATAATTTCATTAAACAACA